TTTGTTACATAGATGCCCATTGGGAGATACCAGGAATATCTGGGGGAAATATGTCATGGAGTGGGGCTCAGCATTGTAACTGAATGTTAAAGTAGCAACAAATCATTTATACTCTGGGCAGGTGAAAACTGAACCCACTAGAGACAGATACACACCATTAACTGTGGCTGCCTCTGGGTGCCAGTATTCTAGAGAATTCATTTTCTTCCCTATATTTTTATGGAACTTGCTGGATTTTCCACTATAAATATTTGTAATTAGAAAAACAAAAGTGATGAAGAATACTTTCTCTTTCCTTCTCCTTCTGGGCCCAGTGGAGGCCTCCTTACTGCCTAAGGCCACTGTGGTTTCTTCCCTGGCTGAATTCTTCCAGTAAAGTCTCGGGTGCACATCCATGTTTACTCATTGTTTTAGGCCCTTGTGGCAGCCCTGCAAGCTCCTTCAGGAGAAGGAACAGATCTCCTTCTCCTCAAGCCCTCCTGCTCCGCTCACTGTGCTCTCGGGAGCTACTCACAACTGGCCTGGGCTGCTGCCACCCTGGGCCTTCATACTTGCTGTCCCAGCTGCCAGCACCACCCCAGTCCCTGCACACACTGCGGGCACCCTGCTCATCACCTTCAGGTTTGACTCAAATATCACTTCTCAGCGAGACTGTCCCTGACTGGGCAGTTCAAAACTGCACACCTCTCAGCGCTTCTTCTCCCTTTCCTGCTTAATTTCTCCCTGTGGTATAGGCATCCATCCAATCTGCTATGTACTGTACTTCCTTGTTATCTATCTCCTTACACTAGTATGTAAGCTCCCTGTGAGGGCAAGGACTCTGTTCATTTTGTTCTCTGCTGTCATCTCACCATCTAGTATGCATGCCTGGTATATACAGAAGATTCTCAATAATTATTTGTTGGATGAGCGAATACATTCGGTAGTAACCATGGTTACCATGTATTGGCGCTACTGTGCTAGGTGCTTAGTAATTCCCTCATTCAGTCTTCTCAGTGTTTTGAGGTAGGTAGCACTTTTTTGTTTTAAAGATGAGGAAACCAAAGCTCAGAGAGGTTAGGTAACTTAGCGGGAGCCACATCTACACGTGGTAGAGAGTGGAATTGGAAAGCAGTTCCGTCTGCTCCAGAGACTAGGAACTTTCCATGTCTAGCACTCTCTGTTTTCATGGCTCTGGTAAAGCAGTTATCCCTCACTGTACCAACACCCAGCAGGGCCCCTGGTGGTCACAGGCTGAGGCTGCTGTCACCCTGGCAATGATTCCCACACTGTAGGGACCACAGAGCTGCTGCTCAGAGGTATTCCTCAAAATGGGGCTCCTCTCTGTGCATCCCTTCTGTGACAAACCGCCCATGACTCTACAACCAGAGAAGCCACCTTGCCCGTCTCTGTCCTCACTGCTGCTTCCTCTAGCCTGGCTGCTCGGGGCTATGGCATACATGAGCAGATGGAGTGCTTTCCTTTCCTTCTCTTTTGGCCCCATTTTCTCAAAGGGATGTTGTTGCTCCCAAAGGACCTTTCAAAGACTGACATTGTGGGACACCAGCAAGAACACGGAACATTTAGGTTCAAGCTCTGGATCTGCTGCTCACTAGCTAGGACATAAGCTTCAGCAAGTCATTTAACTTGTGCGCTGACAGAATGGAAGGAATTACTCTTTTCTTGCGGTTTCCCTCTACTACTGCAACATGGGCAAATGTAGGACCTGTCTCATGGGGCTGCTGTGCAGATTGATGAAACAATGTAGTTATCATACTGAGCACATGCCTAACACATGAGGCTAATAAATGCTGGCTGTCGTTGTCAATTGTGACTGGCTGGGGAATGGGGCAGGGTCTCCAATCAACTGGTGGGATGCAGTGTGGGTGTGGATGGTAGCTGACCACTACTCTCATCGCCCACTAAACTTTTCCCTACAGCTTCAGTCGTCAGAGTCTGAATGCCTTGTTCAAGGTCACAGAGTCATGATTTTTTAAAGGCCTTGATTAGGACACTTCAGAATATCTACCCTCCTTAGTCAGTACACTGTGTTTCCGCTGGGAGGTAATTGTTGCCATCTCTGCTAGGCTGCACAATTTGAGAAATAATTTGAACAGGCATCAATTGCCACCATGACCAAAGCAAGAAGCATAATTATCTCAAGTGAAAACTGATTGAGCCTGTGAATGAGGCCTGATTTGCAGGGACCATAAATGAGCTGCCACCTCTGGAGCACTACGTGCCTGCTAGGTGTTGGTGCTGTGACCAACCTGAGTCTGTTTCCAAACACCCATTCTCCAAGTTTCAGTGGATCAAAAGTCTCGACAGTCTGTGGCTGAACTGAAACCTTTCCATTGTCTAAGACATGATTCATAGTTTTCAAGGGAATTTCCTTCACTGGCTTTGCTTTCTAGTTGTAGTAGAGCATGACTTGGAGTAACCCATCTGCCACCACTCCCCAACAGCAGCCTCTCTTCAACCCGTGTTTCACCCAGAAAGATCTAGTTGTTTGTGCCTGAAGCAGAAGCAGGGAGGAGATCCAGGCCTTTCTTCTCCCCCATGTGAATGACCATAAGTAACAGGAGAATTCATCTCCTGCCCTCACCTTGGCCAATGTCTACTCTACGCATGGGCCTGGAGGCCACACGTTCAGTACTCTGGAGAAGCTGATGATGGCACCTGTGACATGGGTGGTCTTTCCTCCTGAGGCAAGGGTACAGCCCTTTGTACCATCTGGCAACACTGGGAATCATATTTACAGGTCCACAAATGTTATTTCATTGTTTCAAGGCATGAAGGACTTAATTTGAAACTTAGTGGAGAGAGCAGACTGAAGGAGTCTGAGGCAACATGGCCCCTAAGGGCAAACCATGCTGCATTCTGAGCAAAGGTGCACATTCTACATGTAGTCAGCACTCTGAGAGCACTGAGGAGAGTGAGCAGAGCAAGAACCAGTGTTCACAGATAATTCTCCAGCTTTATTTGAGCCTTCTTGTCACCCTCCTGCAGGCCAGTATCTTGTCATAACTACCTTGGCTACACAATCGTTGTTTGTATCCCCAGAGACAGCAGTCTTTGAAAAAAGAACATGAGGCCAGAGACAGATGAACCAAATCTGGAAGGAGTCCCAAGAAGGAAATGTAAAATAGTGAAAAGTACAGGCTTTTGCCTCAGACTTCAGTTCCAGTCCTTGTTTTGTATTACACTGTCTGCAAGACCTTAGAGATTCACTGAATCTATTTGCTTAGTGCAAAACAGAACAGATAATATCTGGCCTATAAGATAATTATAAAAATCATTAAAACATATGTTAAGCATAAAAAGCTGGCACCTCTTAGGTATTGAATAAATGGAAAGTATTACCACCATTAACATCTGTAAAATGGAGGTATTTAGTAATACCTATTTTGCAATGCGGTTGGGAAGTGTAGGGGAAAATATGCCTTTGGTCTGTAGCAGATGTTTAATAAGTGGTACTTTTGTTAATCCTGTCCTTGCCAGATGTTACATGTCTGACCTTCAGCCAAGTCACCTCTGCCACCGATAAAATGGGGAGTATTTCTACTTTATTTCCCTCCCATAAGGACTGCAGTGACAACTGAAGATTATTACACAGGGCTTGTTTCATTTTTTGGAGTTGTGATAACTAAAACCACATTAACATTGGAAGCCCGGAATGGAGAAGAGTACACTAGGATGAAACACATTGGATTGGGGGGAAAGGGACCTGGGTTGTAGTCTTGGTGCTGTCATTTGCTGACCAAGTGTGCTCAGGCAAATCACTTAAGTAATCTGCCCCTCAGATGCACACATTGCTGACCTCTCAGCAGCTGTTAAGAAATGATCATTGTTATTGCTCCTTGAGGGTACAGACAGAATTCTCACTTTAATCTTTGGAACCCAGCAAAGTCCTTGGCATATAGTGGGCAGTCAATATTTTTGTGTAATGAATTATATACTGCTCATAAGTTGTGTCTTCAATCATAAGTAATTTTTTGCCCATAAGCTTATAGCTTTTGGTCTCAGGCTGATTTGTTGGATCCCTAGGCCTGCATCCCAAACTGTTTGCATTCCCTGCTAGCCTTTACATACTCAGAAATGTTATTTGGACACAACTGAAAGCAAAAAAAAAAAGCTGGCAGTAAAGAGAGTAAAAGCAACTCTTCTGTATATGGCAGCTGTAGGGTAACAGCTTCCCCTGCCCCCCGAAAACACACCTTTGGTTTGGTTACCACTCCTCTAGGGGCCCTATTATTCTATGTACCTATTCTACAGGATTTATCCACAGAGTAAAGGTGGCAGGTATTGCAGAAGCCCATGCTACTTGTGTAGATGACTTGTCATGGCTAGTTTAGAATGTGAGGGATGTCTTACAGGTCACCAAATGAGAGGTGGCAGGTGGCAGGCAGCAGGTAGAAAGTGGATGACAGTACCAGGAGAGAGATCTTGCAGTGGAAATTCTTGGTAGTAGGGAACATCATTTATGTATCCTTCACCCACACTACCTACTGTTCCAGAATTGTTATAGTATTTGGTCTCTTAGGGCTTTGGTAGAAGAGGGAACCTTGAAGAGACTGAGAGAAGGGAGATGGAGAGGACCAAAATGCTAACAGTCACCATCACTGTTTGTGCGCTGTAACTGCCTGGGAACAATTAACCTGGCAAAGATAGGGTGTTTTTTCCAGATCTGCCATGTATCAAGTCTTTCCTATGTTACTAAGGAGCAACTGTGATCTTAAGTTATTTTAAATGCCATGTCTGTTGCCCAACGTCCTCTTTTCCTTCCCCTCCCCTCCATCTCCCCCATTTTTCTCCCTTTCCCCCGAAGTCTGACTAAAGGTAACCTCACACAAGCCTTACCCAGTCACCCCAGCTGGGTTAGGTGCCCCTCTGTAGTCTTCAATTCACTGCAATGTTAACTTCTGGTTTATTTACTTACTGTACAGTTCCAGAAATTAGGACCTTTATCTTGTTTAGCATTCTATCCCCAAACGCCCCAAATAATGCATCACACAAAAGAAGATGCTCAACAGGTTTAGTTTATTAAGTATACCAGGGTACACTTCTCATGTACTGCATCTTAATTCTTCTCCAGATACTATAATAGCTAAGCAAATAGAGGTACATGTCATTCTTTTTTCTTTATACAATATACAAAAAGGGTTGTGAAGCTAGACACCAATCAGCTATTTTCTCCCCCTGATATCAGACCATCATGCTGCTGAGTTCCTTCAATCAAGTCCAGCATTACAATGTTATATAATTTGTTCAAGACCACAGAATAAAATGTAAAGTTTTCCAATCCATTTTACAAAACTCTACAATGAAATCCTATAGGAAAAAGTAGACCAATCTCATTTATAAATATCGATGTAACAGTATGTTAAATATAACAAAATGTAGCAAGATACAAAACCTAAATCCTAGTTACATAAATACTTCTCCAGAAATACGACCCCTACCCCCACTTATACTACTTATGACTCAAAAGACAGCAGTTTCCATACCCAGGGGGACCCTCCTGGCTACCTTTCCACCGGCCCTCACAAGGGGCGGATGCCGGCCCTAGCACTGGCCCTGGCCCTTATACTGGCCTCAACCCTGGCCTTGGCTCTGGCCCTGTCGGCCTTGTCTGACAGAGCCTCACGGTCCTGCACAGGCCAGGGCTAGGGCTCTTACGGAGCTTGGCCACGAAACCCTAGGTTTTCATCTTACTGGTTCCCAGGTTGCTTCGGGACCCCAAGAATATTTACATTCGGGTGGATTGGTGTGTGGCACCCGCCTGTAACTGAGGTATCACTGCTGCACGAAATCTTCCATAATAAGCCTCTTCGGGTACCCAAAAGAGGAAGTGATACTCTGAGGGACGCACCCCCAACCGACGCAGCATCTCCCGGACCTGTGCCTCCCTGGCGCTATTACCTTTCATGTAGATAAGGCCCAAGATCATTATTAAGAGACCCAAGCTGGGGCCATCTTCTCCCAGATTCTCCTGCTTCTCAAGAGGTTTTAGTTTGTTGATCAGGATGTAAGTGTGGTGCTTGTGGCTATGCTGTTTCAGCTCGGAACAAAAGACATACAGAAGATGCTCTGCGGCCCTTGCGATGATCTGGGAGAACAGATCCTTCAAGTCTCGATAACGTATTTCACCATCTCGGAGCGGGTGACGGGACTCTTGTCCTTCACCAGCACTAACTGCACTAATTCGGCCACCGCCCGATCCAGACGGCGGTACGAGCTGCGCAGGGCCAAGGCTGCCAAGGCCCTAGCGCCTTTCGGGGTGAGAGTGGACTCGGCAGCCCCCTCCTCCCTCCCGGCACCAAAGTCCTCCAGGGGGCTTTCCTGCAGGTGGGGGCTCGGCGCCTCCCGCTGAGAGGCAGTCAGGGCCTGGGTCTCACCGTCATGGCCGCCATCCTTCTTCCCCTCCACCTGAGGGATGGGGAGTCTCACGCTCTCGGGTTTCTGCAACACGTTCTAGGGAAGGCAGGTGCAAAGCACGTACACGGACAGAGGAGCGTGCGAGCCGCTGCGCAAAGCCCGGCGGAGGGGCTGGACAGCGATTAGGGCGGCAGGAGGAGGACTAGGAGAGACGACGGAGGAGGGTCTTTGGCTGCCGGGCGGCACCGGAGAGGACTAGGGACCGTTGTCTCAGTGCCGTGGACATGTAAGACCTTCGGCGCAGCCTCAGTGCGCGCCCGCGCGCAGGTTCTCCGAGCCACTTCCGGCTAACTCTGCCCATTCGGCGTTCCCGGGACCGCGCGAAGCCCCTCCCCTTCCGGCTTCCTAGACGGTGGGTTTCGCACGGACTTCTCCGCGTTCGCGGCTGGCGACAAGTGTGCGCTCAGCTTTGTATTTTGGCAGGAGAACTGGAGGAGGGTAACCAGGGCTTTCTCCTCCAAGGCATGCAGAGTGGGGAATGTTTTAATATACACGGATGAAATTAAGATAAAATTCTAGCCACGTCCTTTCAGCAGGTGCTTATATATAAGAATGTGTGTCTAGGATTTTGAGCGACTTACTGTAGCTCAAGTGCAGAGTGCGTGGAGGTGAACCCTGGGCGATAAGACTGTGCGGGCCAATTAGTGAAGAACCTTGAACAGGGTGCTAGGAAGATTGAAATTTATTCTGAACATGGTGGGAATATAACTACTGGGGGATTTAAGCAAGGGAGTGTCTGTACCTGCTCTGTATCCTTTAGTCTCTCTCGTGGCAATGGATTGGAGTAGGGCCGACCAAAAGCTGATATTCCAGTTTGGAGTATTGTTGTAGTGCAGAATAGGAACTGAAACTTGACCTGTCATCTTCACTGGTGTATCCCCAGCGCCTAGAACAGTGCCTGGCTCCACAGATATTATAAAATGGATGATGAGAGGGTAAGGATAGCATATTCTGCGGGAGTTAAAGAAAAGTGAAATAAATATTGAAGTACAGCTAGCAGAAATAGTGACTGGAGAAAAGGGGAAGATTTTTTACTTGATTGACCTTAACTATTCCTATTACCTTTTTTTTTTACACACTAAGTTTTCTTCATTTCTTCTGCCTCTCCCTCCCTCTCTTTCCTTTCCTTCCTTTCCTTTCTTTCTCGTTCTTTCTCTCTCCCTCCCCACTTCTTTTTTCTTCTGTCTCTCTTTCCCTCCTTACCTCCTTCCCCACATCTCTTTTTCTCTTTTCAGGGCTCAGCTTAAACTTCTTTTCAAAGCCTTCCTTAGTCTCCATGCATGAAAGTCATTTACTGTTATCTCTGAATAACCAGAGCAATTTGCATTTATTTAACATCCACTTACATAGACCTTATTATATACTAGGCTTTTTTTTAAAACCGATTTTCAGATACTAATTTAATTCTCATCAAGGTAACTACTATTATCATCATCCACATTTTATAGATATGTCTTTCCAGTGGCATTTGCTGTTTACTAGCTATGTAATCCTGGACAAGTTACTAAGCTCCTTGCCTCTTGGTTACCTTATCAGGAAAGTGGATATAATAATAGTAACAACACTATGGAGATTATGTGAAGTAATGCATATATATATACTTAACACAGTGCTTGGCACACGAGTGTTCAATAAATGTTAGCTATTTATTACATATTTTAACTGTGCTGATACTGTGCTAAATATTTGCATGTATTAACTCATCTGCTCAGAACAGCCCTGCTAGTAAGTTGTTTTATTATCCCCATTTTAAAATGGTGTTAAGTAACCTTCCCAACATCATGTGACTGAGATTTGAACCATGCTCTTTACTCATTATATTAATAAATGTTAATTATTATTATTGTTATTGTTATTGACTGTATTCTGCTTTGTATTATAATTATTTTTGTGCTTATTACCCTCCAAAACCAAACATCTTAAAAGCCAGGGCTATGTCTTAACTCTTTTGAAGAGCTCCTCAAGAGTTGGCACTCAGTACATAATTGTCACTGAATAAATGATGGAAGGCTTTTTTCCATAGGATATAGCATTTTTTCCATAGGAAATAGCATTTATTTAAAAAAAAATCTTTGAAGGATTTCCTAGATTTAACCATGAACTCTTTAATTTTTAAAAACTTATGAAAATACTCATTTATACTTTATGGCTTACAAAAACTGAAAGTGTGAATGAAGCAGGAAGATGTTTGTTATATTTTAGCCTGAGGCTATTATTAGTTTCCATTATGCCAGACATTTTGTGCACAATATAATTTAGTCCTCACAGATCCCTATTAGGAAGGTATTATTATTCTCATTATACAAATGGGAAAACAGTCACAGAAAGCACCTGTCCAACCCAACCATTTGTTAAGTGCCAGACTGGAAATGAGAACCTTGATCTGTCTGTTCTCAAGATGGCTCATGACCACCATACCATGTTGGACTGCTGGATTATCTGCTTTTCCCAAAAGTAGAGAGAACCACTCCTACCTGAGGACAGTACTAGAGATAAAATAATCCACTTAAGTATTTCTCTCACTTGAAGCATTGGCAAGGAGACATGCAGGAGATACATTGAATGGGAAGAATTTTTTTTTTTTTTGAGAGGGCATCTCTCATATTTATTGATCAAATGGTTGTTAACAACAATAAAATTCAGTATAGGGGGGTCAATGCTCAATGTACAATCATTAATCCATCTCAGGCCTGACTTGTCAGTCTCCAATCTTCTGAAGCATAACGAACAAGTTCTTACATGGTGAACGAATTCTTACATAGTGAATAAGTCTTACATGGTGAACAGTACAAGGGCAGTCATCAGAGAAACTTTCAGTTTTGATCACGCATTATGAACTATAAACAATCAGGTCAAATATGAATATTCATTTAATTTTATACTTGATTTATATGTTGATCCCACATTTCTCCCTTTATTATTATTATTTTTTTTATTTTTAATAAAATGCTGAAGTGGTAGGTAGATGCAAGATAAAGGTAGAAAACATAGTTTAGTGTTGTAGGAGAGCAATTGTAGATGATCAGGTGTGTGCCTGTAGACTATGTGTTAATCCA